CCCCGAGCAATGTACGTACACACATTTAAAAGAAGCATTAATACACAGACTAACTAAATTCGACGAACAACGGCTAAGGCGATTATTAATGGGGATTGAATTAGGAGACAAAAAACCATCCGAACTTTGGAGAGAAATGAAACGCTTAGCAGGTGATAGTGTTAGTGAAAAAATGCTCCTAACTTTATGGATGCAAAAGATACCAACCAGGGCACAAGGGATCCTGGCCATTGCAGACGAAAATACGTCACCCGCAAAGTTAGCGGAAATGGGTGACAAGATTCTCGAGAGAGAGCGTCTGCCGGAAACCGCCGCCATTTCGGAAGAAGCGCCAATAGGAAGTGCCGCTCAAACAACAACCAATCGCGAGGTAGCAGAATTCAGACGGGAAATCGCGCAATTAACAGAGAAGATAGAAAAATTGATGCGCGGCAGAAGAAAATACCGAAGTTTCCGCGGAAGATACCGAAGTCGAAGCCGATCGTCAAGCACTTACCGAAACGATGACGGCCTATGTTATTACCACTGGAAATTCGCCGAACGATCGTGGAAGTGCAGATCCCCGTGCAAGTGGACAGGCCCGGATAAAAGAAAGCCTTCGGAAAACTAGTGCAAGCGTCTCAAATAGAGGCGGTTGACGACGCGACGAAAAACCTGCGCCTCATGGTAAATGATAGGAAAACAGGAGCATGTTTTCTAATAGACACTGGTGCAGACGTCTCAGTGATTCCACGTACTTCGWTAAATGAAACCAAAGACAATACGTGTAAGTTATATGCGGCAAATGGTGCAGAAATAGAGACATTCGGAAAAAARCTTTTAAACTTAAATCTTGGACTTCGTTAAGATTTTTCATGGAGATTCATTATAGCGAATGTTTCTAAAGCAATWATAGGCGCCGATTTCTTACATTTTTATAATTTACTACCAGATTTAAGAAACAAAAAATTGTTGAACGGCAATACATTGCTTTCTAGGAAAGCAGAATTAGTAAATATTGACGTTCCAACCATTTTGACYATTAAYYGTAATAGTCCGTATTTAGAACTTTTTAGGGAGTACGCAGATTTAACGAAACCAACTTCAAGGAAACCCATCAGCCACACGGTGAAACATTATATAATCACAAAAGGTCCTCCGATAGCAGAGAGAGCAAGAAGACTAAATCCGGAAAAACTGCGAATCGCACAAGCCGAATTTCAGCAACTAGTCAACGAAGGAATCTGTCGCCCGTCCAAGAGTCAATGGGCGAGCCCTCTGCATATGGTACCATGGAGGCCATGTGGAGATTATAGACGATTAAATAGCGTTACGGTACCAGACAGGTACCCCATTCCACATGTACACGACGTCACGCAACAATTTCGTGACTGTAATATATTTTCTACAATAGATTTGTCTAGAACATATCACCAAATTCCGTTGGCTGAGGAAGATATAGAAAAAACAGCGGTAATTACACCTTTTGGTTTATTCGAGTACACAGTGATGCCTTTCGGCTTATCTAACGCGGCGCAAACATTCCAAAGGTTTATGAACATAGTGTTAAGCAAGTTAGATTTCTGTGCCTGTTATATAGATGATATAATTGTAGCGTCTAAAAATAAGGAATCTCATGAAAAACATCTGCGTGCAATATTTGATAGACTTAGGCAATATGGACTAACAATAAACATTTCAAAGTGCAGTTTTTTTCAAAATAGCGTAAACTATTTAGGTTATAAGATAGATAATAAGGGTATAGCGCCGTTGGATGAGCGAGTCCACGCTATACAAAACTATACCAAACCAAAGACTGTTTCAGATATGCGACGTTTCCTTGGGGTAGTGAATTTTTATAGGAGGTTCTTACCAAAGGCTGCAGAATGGCTTGACCCACTTAACAAATATATGATAGGTGCCAAGAAGCACGACAAAAGACT